TTTTTTTTTTTTAATTTTTCTTTTTTTTTTTCTTTTTTTTTCTTATTATTAATTATTTCTCCTAAGCTCCTGATACATTGTACCGAATGATCGTTGAACTTTGCATTCTATTCATATGTTTCACATTATATTTAAATTTACCTGTGTTTTAATGGAGTTACCATCGTACACCATCAATTTTGAGTCGGGCATAATTAGTATAATTAGAACCGTAACATAATACACGTAATAATCTGTCAAAATAGTAATCATGTGTAGACAAACCGTAACTTCAAGGATAGTCGTAAAAGCGCGGTTTTCGGAAATCCGAGTCGGAATTTCCTAAAGATAAAATGACGGATAAAATAATGGACTTTAATTGAGCAGTTACTCAATATCATTTCATAGTTAAAAGAAAAAAAACAACTAAATATTATATAACGAGGGTTTTAGATCAAAAGCGCTATCTTGATTAAATATTAGGCTAATTAAACTTTAAATTAATTCACGTGTTAGCGCGCAAAAACTCATAAAGAAAATGTATTTATTCTGTATTAAATAAAATAACTATTAATAAAGTAAATTAACAATTTGGAAACATTCGATTATTAATTACTGTCAATTTTACTTAACATAAAAACACTAGCATACAATGATAACATTTTTAGTGTACGAAGACATTAGTAATGTAATTAAAATGTACGTAAAGTGAATGTTATATATTGTTTAATATATGAAAGTTTTGCTATAATTTTACGAAAATTTAAGCAACTCATAACATAATAAGTGAGTATGGAAATTATAATGCATTTCAATTATTATATTTCTATACGTAGGTTCTTTTGCTTGTTATGATGTTTTTCAAGTACGCGTGGCTAATATTCAAAATTATCGTGAAACTCTCTGCTGAATGAATAGGAAAAAATATTGAACTGAATAAATCAGATCGATATTTCATTAGTAATGAAATGAAATAATATTATAATGCACGTAGGAAAAAGTGATAAGGCGAAGAAGAAAAGAAAGAAAAATGTGCGTTCGTAAGTTGGGAAATTTGAAATAATGGAAAAGAAATTTTTACTTCACGATCGACGCGAACCCAATACACAAAATTGTAAAATGTAAAGTTATCACAAGACATTATGTTTATTGCAAGTGTTACGGATTGAAAAGTTGAAAGGCGAAAGTGAGAGATGTATGAACGCGCAATTCAGTTGTTTAAACAAAACAACGGCAACGGACGTTCCAGGCTATGCCCTGTTGACGTCACGACCAATATCGTCATGGCAAGAGACACCGGCGTTAAGGAGAATAATGCCATATTATTTAAGGTCTGCGCTTCATGCGCAACAATTCAGCCTTGCCTCGGTCTAGTAACAATTACAGAGTCATTATAACAAGCGCAGATTCATCTTCAATCTTCTCTCTAAAGTTATCACTCACATACGTAATAATCAATTAAATAATCTTAAGTAAATAATCTTAGTAAGAAATAGTGACGCTATATTCTAAAATCAGTTAAACTAATAACGCGCTGGTGCTAACATAAAAATCATATTATATATGCTCACGGATTAGACCGACGCATAATACATCGACGACGGTAATATATTGGGCGTTCTTTGTTCCTATAAAACAATGTACTTATATTTATATTTATATATGCTACAATTTTAATTAATTGAATTCAATCATATATTCGTTCAAACTGATCAAAACTTCAATCACACCATGTCAGACTCTTCTGATCAATCTGCTAGAACATATCACGGTCTATTGTGAAAGTACCGTTACGTAGAAACACTAATGACCATTTATCTAAAGAAAACAGATTAGTCGTAATTGCCACAGGACAAGTAATACATTTTAGAATTCCTAGCCTTGACTTACCATCTGAATACCCAGTACATTGGTTTGAGTATAATCCTGGCAAGAAACCGGCTGCGACTGTGAAAATAAGAGATGTGTATCCGGAATCCATCGAAAGAATTGATGCTCATGATATGGAAAACATCAGTCGGAAATTCTGATATTTTAAAGATTCTTTGCACGAAACGGATGGGTTTGCGAGTTGTCTGGCATTTCATCCGTTAGCTATGTACACTACCCATTAGCGAGAAGACTCGGTTTGTCTGGACCACGATTAGTCGTACATTACATATACAAATAATTTAACTTTAAAATAATAAGTTTAACAAGACAATGTCAGTATAATTGATTGACTTTAAAATCTCTCTCTCTCTCTCTCTCTCTCTCTCTCTCTCTCTCTATATATATATATATATATATATATATATATATATATATATATATATGTATATATACATATATGTAGTTTAAATAATTGATCGCTCATAAGGTTTCAATATTATTTTTCCTGCAGCCAGTGTGACAGATTCAATTACTATTAAATAATTATGAATGTCTCTGTGGATGATTTTTGCCTAGACAGTGCCAAAATGATGGGCAATTTTCCTACAATTTTTACTCAAACAATCACCTCAAAATTGTCACTAATTGTGTACATACGTGTACATAAATTATTTCATGAAACTAATGGCATTGTTTATGTGAATTTATGTGCTGTTAAAATTCTTTGTCAAACGCGAGTCATATACTGGTCCCTTGACTCTTCTTAATCTCTTGGCGATACATTAATGGAATGAATACAAATGCTTTTATAACTGATTTTGAAATGTTTAATTTAGCATCTTAATAAACATATATCGCAAGCTTCATACGCATACTCTCGTCATGTCGGCTGGGAAGTTTCTATGGATTATGGATTCGCTTTCTTTGATTTGTTATTCTCGTCTTCTCCCAGACGTATTTGCATTAAATTGAATTCTTGGATCTGGTTCAATGCACAATGCATATCATTGATAAGCAAGGATGTAGCGATAAATTCTATAAGTTATTTACTACGTGTTTGTTTTGCTTTCTCAGAACTATCTATACGCATTGAATATTACTTACTGATTGTTTTAAATTCTGCCATTTAACAATGTAATAAATAACCTATCTACTATTTGTATTTTAACATATTATGCTTTCAAAATTTATTTTATCGTTTGTGATTTTCAAAAAATAATTATAAGTAGAGATGACAAGCAACCTACATGTGTATCAGTACACTTTTTTTTTTTTTTTTTTTTTTTTTTTTTTTTTTTTTTTTTTGATTTACAACGAATTCTTATGTATTTCCAAATTAATTCACATTGTAATAAAATTAATATTTTCAATATAGCATTTTACAAAAATTATATTCGAACACTACGAAATGTAATGTAACTATAATCACCGTAATGTAATATACAAAAGAACGCTTAAATAAAAATAAAACAAACATTAAATGTTAAATATTATTTTTCAATTCGGTATAACGTTACTTTAATGAGCTTCAAGTTACATAAAACATTTTAACAATATAATTCTATTGCGATAAAATTGAATATTATAATGCACAAGAAAATTTAAAATACTATATGGTTCGCCTACATTTGTTTGGTATGCGTACTCGCTACTCTACATGTACATATATTCACATATGCGCACGCACCTATGGGCTTTAAACTGTCTGAGAAGATTTTTCAAAAAGCGGATAAATTTTTATTAATGCGTAACAAAAGTAAAAATTCGAGAATATGGGAAATAAAGGAATGTAATGTGTTCGTATGAGCTAACAACTACCAGTCAATTGTCTAGAAAATTACAAACGCAATACTATAATACTAATTGTATCGAATTTAAATACCTTAAGCGATTATGTACGGAACGTTAAAATTTTATTCTAGTAAGAGCAGTATTGGTATATGCTGAAGAATAGGAAAAAATAGAGACGAAGGACGAAGGATGGAAAAAATACCTCCGCGGATTGTGTAAAACGAGCGAGTTAAGCATTGACTATAATGACCTGTAACAACGGCAGTGGCAATATATTCGAGTTTTTACAATTTCGTCGGCACTTTCATCTTTCTTTCTTTCTTTGTCATTACACCAGGAATTTTCATATTACAATTATTACATATTACGCGTCTATAGACTTTACAATTATTCGCATATTTTCCAATTTGGAATTAACCAAATAATTTGATTGAACTTAAGCAATCTATTTCAATATTACCTTACTCATTTCTAATTCGGATATTTTAGTGAAATGATGCAAATACAAATTAGCACTGAAAAATGTAATCTACATATACATATATACGCGCTATAAAACTTTGTTTATCTCTATTATTATTATTTATAATATTATTCTAAATTCTTATAATATAATACTTAAATGAAATATATTTCATGTAACTTTAATTTGACTGTTCTTTCTTTGTTTAAATTCTTACTTCAACTTTTATAATCACATTTTTCATTTTTACTTTCACAATCAACTCACTATTGTGCAATCAATTACTTATTACTTAGGTAAAACGTTATAATTTATATTATCGTTTAAAATATCCTATTGATAATTTTAGTCAATTTACAGTGAGAAAGATGTAAATTTTTTAATAGTTCAAAAGTAATTCATTTGCAATTGCAAATATTATAAATGAAATCGAAATTTATGTGCCAACGAAAACAATGTTTAATCTATAGAAAAATCTACTAAAATATTAACTAAATGAAATCTAAGAAAATCTATTAAAATTTACATAATAGTTTTAAATACAATAATAACTGAATTAGTGGTAGTTAGTATAAGCGTAAGAAGAATTGGATAAATAAGACTGTTCGAGGGTGAAATGAAAATCTCTCGAATTATATTCATTAGGAAAATTTTAACAGCTATTATGAAAAGGGAATTATCAAATGGACATAAAAATCTAAGAAAGTCTCGCCAAGGTTGCTGGAGACTCGAAAAGGTTTGTACATCTGTGAACTCGTAAACAGCCACTTTATTTGTATTTGTTTTTCGTATTAAAGACGTAGTAATTGTTTTTAATGCAATGAACGACCCTTACGACTTTTCATCAAAACCCGCTTAGCTTGTTTACTAGAGTATATTTTGAGGCTTAAATTATTTGAAAACAATTGAGTGAAAAACATTTCTTGAGAATTCGTTGTAACCCGAAACTCGGGACGTGCGACCTTCGGCAATCAGCGTCGCACGTGTGCCTTCAATGCCACAAGGTCATACGCATGCATTGTTGTCAAGTTCGAGACATCAATGTTGCTTGCTTGCATAGGCCAAGCGAATAAGACTTTTGACCAAAAATCACACCCATCACGATGAGTCCCGGAGAGGGGTAAATCTTCAACTTCACGCATTGCCGCCAGAGATGTCCACGTGGGCAGCCAAGGGCTGCCTCTGTGGAAAAGTCAATAAGAAAAAGGGCTATCCTGTAGAGAAGCGAGGGTCAGGAAGGAACTTTAGGCACCCTTACGAATTGGTAAACTAGTGACCAAGTAACTTGCGGAGATCCACTGACCAGAAAAAGATACATCAACCGTAGTATTCAATCGCCGACGGAAGGCCGATCGCGCACGTTTGTGTTTACCGCGTACTTTGTGGTAAATTACTCAAACGAGTATCAGATGAAGGTACTCCATCACTGTAAGTACACTGTCAGCGCAACCTCATTACTTTCTTGCTCGCCGATGGCAATGATCGGCACAACATCATAATTAAACGATTTCAAGAGCATCTTGTGTGGTGACACATCCCATACAAGAAACCGTTCGAGAAATCGCATCTTCACACTAGATTCAAGTAGATTCTACAACACCCATATGTAAATTGTGTAATAAATTGTATAATAAATGTATAATTAACCAACTCTCACGACTCTTGTACGGGCTTTCCACCTAACAATTTCCCGGGCGTCTGCTAGGGAGGACGGCAAACATAAGCTATTGAAGCATTGGCAGTTCGAGTCAAGAATTACATCACTACAACTTTCGAACAAAGACATATATCATTATCTCCAACAATATTAATATCTTATTTTGTCATTACCTGGCCAAACTATTCTATTCACTTTATTTTTCAAGTCATATATTTTGAATGTTTTTCTTATAGGAAAGAATTTATTTGGTTCTCGACTTAGCCTACCCCTACCCTCTCGTACACAAAGTTGTCACAGACATGACTATCGTAAAAACTATTTCTTCAACAACAATACTCTTAGTTTTTATTTTATTAATATACGTTTTATGTATTATGGAATTCATAGTAAAAGACGGATACATCCATCACGATATAATAATGTATCAAGCATAAGTTAATGTAAAAAAATAAAAAAAGAAGTTTGAAATTTCTGTGTAAATTGTATGTGAGAATAACGATTATGCTAATAATTCAAATATACAAAGTCGTATTTTAATATTTGCATAAATTTATGATAGTATTTTTATGGGAGGACATTTTTTTTATAAATAATTAAATACTTAAAGTTGAAAATGTAAGTCATTCTGAAGAAAAATCTAATTTTAAATTAAAAAATCATTATGTATTATATGATAATTAGAAAATTATTAATTATTTATGGATTAAAAAAAAAAAAATTTTATTATATGAACATTATATGAAAGAAAATGATGATCGTAAAAGTTATGATGTTTGGCGTTTAGTGATTTAAAAATCCCATGTAATTTTTTTTTTTTAAATTTTCATCAAACATATATAACTTAAATATATAAAGACTTAAACTCACCAGAGACGAAAGTAATTTCGCTGATCATAATCCATTTGGCAGAGAAATGTAGCCTCACTTTAACGAACTTCCCCACGCGGTTATGAAGTTTTACTGTGATATTCTGAGAAACTTCAAAAATATTATCTTCTATGGAATTGTATGTAATTGGCTCGCCGGTATAATATTTTCCACCAATACTGAAAAGAATCTCGAGTTGGGAAAACACCTGAAAAATAAAAATCTCTTTAAATGCGGATGCATAAAAGTAATATATCATCTATAGCTTTCAATTAAAATAGATTGAAGATCTTTTCTTCATTCGTACAGTTTATAATATAACGTATGAAGTCGTTGAATTTTCCACCGAGATCTGCAATATTAATGAGAGTTGAAATTTTACTTATACAACTATATTACTCAATAATTTGCCCTTAATTATTCGTTCGCTTATCAAATATTTCAACTCAATGTTCCTTATACATTGGAATTAGTAAACGTGCAAGTAGACTCAATGTAAAATACCATTCAAGTAATAATTAAAAACTCACAGTAATATGCTGTCTTTAATAATCGATAGATCAAGATATTGGGCGAATTACCCAAGGCAAATATTAATAATAATGAATTATTTTGCCTTCATTAATCATTATCACATCGGAGGCATTGATGCCCTCTGCAAAATTGAGAAGTAGGAAGGGGGGATGAGTATTTAAATAGCTAAATTACGCGCCTTTAGTCTTTAACGCGCGATCGCCAACGTGTATTCTCGTAAATCACTTTTCAATGACACTGATGGATGCGATGGACCAAGAAACTTTCACAGTTATTTCAACAGAAACTTTTACTTCAAGGAATTACGTTTGTGGCTTTCTTTTGCGACTTATGCCGCCCCTGATCTTCGCTTTACTCTTTGCACAAGGGCATTCGCTCGGAACTGAGAAGCTTTTTAAAGTTCGATGAACCGCGTGATCTCATTATAAATCAGATATTTCACGGCGATTCAATTCACTTTTCTTTCTTTTAACTAAAACGCGAATCTTTGAATATTAAGTTATGTAAATATAAAGACCTTTTTTTTCTTTTCCTTTCTCTCTCTCTCTCTCTCTCTCTCTCTCTCTCTCTCTCTCTCTCTCTCTCTCTCTTAGACAAATTTTAGTGTAAACAGTTGCTACACGACTGTTCTCCTTCTATTCGTTGTATATACCGAGTGCAAAAAATTTTAGGCTCTCCATCATTGTGCGATTGTTATTTAACTCTAATTGGTGTTGTTTCAATAGATAAGGATAATTTTTTTTTTTGTTCTGGAATATTGGATTTCGAATTTTATACTATCTTCCGCAGCGCACAATATGTAAAATGACAATAGAAATGTCGTTGACTATAATACTTTTAAAATTGAAGAAATTTTTAATCCATGAGAGCGCATTATTTTATAAAAATTATGTTGAAAAGCTTAGGAACAAGTAGCTCTATCTATCATCGATTTGAAAGTTAAACAGAAAAGTATATTTTAAAGAAATATTTGAGAAGCGAATTGGATAGCATCCAATTTAATTTTCCAATATCTGTCTTATTTGTATGTATAATTTATTAAAACTTTATTCAGCAATATTTTGAATTCTTCTTTATCTAATCGAAGAGATAAAAATTTGATCAATTTCAGAAAGACAAACGTGACATACGTATATTATTTCACTAGCTTGTGTTTTTAATCATTTTACAGTACCATAACGATATAAACGGTTATATTCTTTATTTTTAAATAATATATAAATATACCATTGTGGGTAAATTAATTTAAAAGTTCATAAAGACGTTATTTTTCTGGGTTCGTTGTAATAAGAGTGGAAAGCCTTTATTTCTAATTAAGCTTCGAAATGCCAAATTATCCTAGAAATGAATTATAAGCATATTGTTAATTACATTAAGTTACCCATGCAGCTATTTTTGTTTTTAATTATATTTAAAAGGTAGAAATATATTAAATATAAGTTTTTTTTTTCTATTAAAAATGTCCTTATTTAATTATTAAAAATTTTTTAATGTAATATAACCGGTCGTTAAATGTCTTAAAATTAAAATTTTTTCGCAAATTTACACAAGTAATATGACCCTACAATGCCATTTTTAAAATATTCATCGTTGTATACCTTAAATTGTCAAAGTAAATTTATACAATATAGTTTTTATTAATTTAAGACTCGAATCAATAAAAAAAGTATTATATTAATAACGAATACAATCGACTACCATACTACAAATACTTATAAAATTATACAACGATAAACTATAACGATTACAATTTTTTTTCACTATAGTGCACATACAAATAATTAATCGTTGTAATGTAACGATTGCTTTGAGAGAAATTTTCAAAACTTACCAAAGGCCAGTAAGCTTGTAAAAGTCTAAAGTACGCATTTCTGTGATGTTAAGCTAAATAAAAGCAAAATCAAAGTTTCCCAAACTTTGATACAAAAATGAAAGACGAACAAATTTATTACGAACAAACAAATTTCAATAATAAATGTAACGTTATTACTTACACGTTCAGAATTCGTGATTTCCCCCCCCCCCTCTCCAGCATTTGTCTTTCTCTATTTGCGACAAATAATATACGTGGATATCGAAACGAACGACTATTGGATTAAAGACTACTGCAAGTCTACATACATAATATAATGAAAAATTAAAGATGCACACGTCATTAATAATGAACGTATATGTAGCGAAATATTCATATGAAAGTTTATGTCATTCATCCGATATTTTATTTTGAAACACGAAAATTTGATGTTAAAATTTTATAATTTCTTTATAATATAGCTGCATAAAATGTAAAACATTTGATAATAATAATAAAGAATTGAAGACAAGACAACAATTAAGGTTGTCAATTTTTATTTACTTTATAATATCTAATGATAGATAAATGTTAATTTTAAATCGTGAATAATTCATATTTGTAAAAATTTATTAAGAAAATCTCCTCTATCGCAAATTTATTAAATTGTTAAATTGATTATATCGAAATATTTATATCTACATCCGTCCTCGATTAATTGATTTTGTTGTTGTTGTTGTTGTTGTTATTGTTGTTGTTATTGTTGTTATATTCAACTTTAATCAAAATAAGTATTTAAACAGATTTAATTTTTTAATATAAGGAATAGCATTAAAGGTAAATTGTTAAATCTTTGCAAAATAAAATATAATGAATTAGGAAGCCGCTATAACGATACAAGACAAGGGAACATACGAATGGCCTAAATTGAAAATTTCATTTCCCCATTGAATTATTCTTGAGTGATTAATAAAACTAAATCCCGTTCGTTCGTGCGATTTTGTTAAATATAATGGAAATTATTCTCGGAAATTACTGGTCAGATATAAGCACCAGTTAATAAAATGAGAAAGGAAAAATAAAAGGAAGCTGAATAGAGTACAAGAAGAAGATGAAAAATAAAAAGTGCTGGAGAGACGGTACCTGCGCGCATTGGCATTTCAATTTTAAATTGAATCCCTACTACCTACCTGTCGACCACCCTGAAAGTATCTTATACATATTTTCCTTAAATCAAAGCGAATAATGGAAAGAGTTAAAGGAAATGGTGGATTGAGAATCAGGCACTTTCCACGTTGAACAGATGAAAGTTTAGCTATTGAATTAGTACGAGTGAATTTGACATCTCACTTCTAAAAGGACTTTTTTCCCAATTCAAATATTTCGTACAATTTGAATTGTACAACGATCCTTGCGCTCGGAAGCCATACCAATTTATTCAACGCCAGCATACATCCCATATGAATTTGGCCGAAAACTGTTACTCTTTATCGATCCTACGACTCTTTTTAGCACGTTTATTAAAAAAGTAAAACTCTCTTCTTTTTTTCCAACTGAATGTCGATCATATCTTCATATAAGTTTTCCAGTTATATTGAATTTCATTTCCAACTTTTTCTAAAGAGCTTGTATATTATTCATATAGCTTCTAAAATGAAAATTTCATGTATTATTAGCAGTAAAAACTTAAAACGCGAGTTCTTATTATTCATAGTATATTTCTTTGTAATATGAATAATGTAACCGCTAGTAATAGCTATTGTATTTGAAAATTTTCGTTACATTAAGATGGATGTAAAAGCGAGAGATTCGATAAATTTCGGTATAGCCGAAGGATATTAAAAGATGAAATAGTGAAATAAATAGCTTTCGATATAATTTAAAAAAAAAAAAAAAAAAAAAAAAAAAAAAAAAAAAAACTACCGATAAGTATTTTTATTTTAAAATAAATAACATAAAATGTATACGTTATCACAATAATTTTAGCTCAATGTACTCTCTTTAAATTTCAATATGTAGCACAAGATAACATATTATTTCGTTTTGTTAAAAAAAGAAAAACATTTAAATATCTCGTGAAATGAAAGAAGGAAAGAAACGACAATATATGTCATTAATGCAATTACTATGGCATTGTATTACGTAATGTACTTTTTGAAATAAAATAAAAATTTTTCATAAAAATTATTTTCTATTAGTATCTATTATACATAAATTATCGGGCTATTTCACTTTTTATAATATTATTGAAAGATAAATTTTGAAATATATATTACAAAGGGAGTTTTCAAGTATAAGTTGCAATATCATATATATGCTGTGGATACATTTAGCCAAAAAAAAAAAAAGAGAGAGAGAGAAGTTGTTGAAGAGGTATAATATAAAGATTTGCATTATTATGAATGTAAAAACGGGTGGCAGCTTTTACATAAACATTTATTCAGATTTTTAGGTGCAAAATGATTAAAAAAAATTCCAATAACAATTATATAAAAATGTAAATTGCATTAATTTTGCCCGCGTAAGGTAACATCTCGTCCTTTTATTGAACATTTATATAAAAAAACATTATGGCGATGCGTCATATTAAAATATAATAATCAAGTTTAATTAAAAAGTGAGGTATCGCATAATAATAAAAATAATTCCATTACATTTTATCCTTATTTCAAAACAGTGTGAATTTGTGTGTGTGTGTTTTTTTTGTTTGTTTTGTTTCATAATTTTCAGCAAAATTTACAATCTACATGAGATTATAATTGTTGTAAATTACAACAAGCCAAATATATTTATAGAATTACAAATTTTTATACGCAGTGGCATGCATTTTTGTAACGACAAATTCAATGATTTATTTAGTTGAAATTTTGAATTATTAGATT